AAAAAAAAAAAAAAAGAACTTGGAGTAGTGACTGATGACACCATGTCCATAAACTAAGAGGTGGTCATTGGAAATTGGAGTGGTTTGAAGAGCTAATGAGAAATGAGGAATGGGAACAGAGAATTCTGGAGAAATCTATAAAACAAAACACACACAAACAAAAAAGTGTTTTGTTTTTCCTTTTCTTTTTTTTAGTGCTGGAACTAGAGCTTGAACTCAGGGACTTGCATTTTCCCTTGCACTTTTGGGGGTGGGGGGAGCGGTTGTGGGGCTTAAACTCAGCCTGGGTGCTGTCTCTGAGCTCTTCAGCTCAAGGCGAGCGCTCTACCACTTGAGCCACAGCGCCACTTCCAGTTTTCTGGTAGTTCATTGGCGATAAAGAGTCTCACGGACTTTTCTGCCTGGGCTGGCTTTGAACCATGATCCTCAGATCTCAGCCTCCTGACTAGTTAGGATTACAGGTGTGAGCCAACTGTGTCAGCTTTTTTTTTTTTTTTTACTCAAGGCTGGAGCTCTACCACTTGAGCCACAACTTCACTTCTGGTTTGGGGTCATTCATTGGCAATCGGAGTCTTCATGCACTTTTCTCTCCCTGTTTGGCTTCAAACCATAATCCTCAGATCTCAGCCTCCTTTGTAGCTAGAGTTACAGTCCTGAGCCCCCAGTGCCTGGCTAACCTGGAAGAATTTGGTTGTGCAGATGTAAAGAGAGGAGAGGTAGTGTTAGAGAGGAATCTGGGCTCAGGTAGCATCTGCCTGTGTTTTTTAAAATTATAGGCACAGAGTAGTACAGTGTGAATATTACATCCTGATGACAAGTTCTGGAGAGAGGAAGAAATGGCTGACAGGCACTTGGGAAATGGATGGAGGACAGGGGCCAAATGTCCAAGTCTGTGAATTTGCTTTGGGGAAGAAAGGAGCCTTCCTGCCCAATTTGCTTCTATTTTCTCCAAGAGGTGAGAAAAAGTAGGCAGGGGGAAGAGGAGGGTGAGAGGAAGGAGGTGTGAACAGTTGTTTTGAAGGGAGGACATCTCCTTTAAGAGAGAGAGAAGCAGTCAGAGACAAGAGGTAGGCCTCCTTGGGAGTTGGTGGCTAGGAGTCTAAAAGGAGAGCTGCCAGCCCTGTGGGGTGTTCCCTCCTCCAGCCTAGAGCAGCTGGAGTGTGTGTGTGTGGGGGGGGGGGAATGGAAGGCCCAGGAAGGGAAAGTAGTAATAAGGGATGGGAAGCTGTGGGTGGTCCCAACCTATAATCCCAGCACTTGGGAGGCAGAGGCAGGAGGAGGATGAGTTGGAGGCCAGCCTGGGCTATGTAGGAGACCTGATCTCAAAAAAGCAACACCAACCACCAAAGCCAGACACTAGTGGCTCCCATTTGTAAATTCTAGCTACTCAGGAGGCTTTGATCTGAGGGTCAGTGTTTGAAGTCAGCTCTGACAGATGAGACTATCTCCCATTAGCCAGCAAAAGGTAGCAAGTGGAAGTGGGGCTCAAGGGGCTGGGAAGGTGGCTCAGTGGTAGAGCGCTTGCCTTGCATGCATGAGGCCCTGGGTTCGATTCCTCAGCAAAAAAGAAAAAAGCTGGAAGTGGCGCTGTGGCTCAAGTGATAGAGTGCTAGCCTTGACCTGAAGAGCTGAGGACAGTGCCCAGGCCCAGAGTTCAGGCCCCACGACCGGACCCCCCCAAAAAAAATCTTTAAAAGAAGTGGGGCTCAAGTGGTGGAGAGCCAGTCTTGAGCGAAAAAGTCAAATGAGAGTGCAAGGTCCGGAATTCAAGCCCCAGGAACAGCATACCCTGCCTCGCCTCCCCCTCGGCCCCCCGAAAAAAAGCAACAAAAACCAGCTGGGCCCTGGTGGCTTACACCTGGTTTGCACCTGTAATGCTGGCTTAGGAGACTGAGATCTGGGATGGAGGTTCAAAGCCAAACTCTGGGCAGTGAAGCCTATGGGACTCTTTTCTCCAATGAACTATGAGAAAACCAGAAGTGGAGCTGTGGCTCAAAGGGGTAGCACCCTAGCCTTGAGGAAAAGAGATCAGGGACAGTGCCCAGGCCCTTAGTTCAAGCCCTATAATTGAAAAAAACAAAACAAACCAAAAGCAACAATATTAATCCTCAAGGAGGAGCAGAAGATGAATTACGCAGAAAGATCACAGAATGGAAACGGTAAGGCTGGCATGGACAGCGGTGGGGCTGCTGATGGACGGTGGTGAGCATCAACTATTACTGAGGCCTTGAGTTGAGGTGTCAGAAGTGTATTTATCGACAATGGCAAGCAGTCAAGGGATGATCACAGGAGCCACAATGCAGACCCCAGGGGCCTTGGGTACATCCACAGCACTGACATAGCAGCACTTAATAGGTGCCAGGCACCAGATGAAGAACTTTAAATGAATTAGCTCTCTGGAGAGAAGATGGCGAGCTCAGGCAGGGGCTGACTCATTTGACTATTCTACCAGGAGCCAGCACCACCCAGTGCCATGAGCTAAATACAGACCTCAGCTTGCTCAGACTCGACTGAAGCCACTGACCACACACATTGCCCTTCAACTTGGAAAGAAACAAAGCTCTTGAGCTCAGACCCCAGTGGAGGAAAAGAAATAGACTATGAAAAGAGTCCTCATTGCATTTCTAGTTTATACCAAGCCTACCCAACAGGGGACCCACTGGCCCATTTGACTGATGGAAAGAGAGATCACAGAAGCTGAGTGAGCATCTGTGGCTCACGCCTGTCATCCTACCTACTCAGAACATTGAGATCTGAGGATCTTGGTTCGAAGCCAGCCCAAGCAAGAAAGTCTGTGAGACTCTTCCCTCCAATTAACCAATAAGAAGCTGGAAGTGGAGCTGTGACTCAAGGGGTGGAGCATCAGCCTTGAGCAAAACATGGGACAGAGCCCAGGCCCTAAATTCAAGCCCAAGTATCAATCAGCATGTGTGTGCGCATGCGCATGTGCATATGCGCGCGTGCACACACACACACACACACACACACACACGAGGAGAGAATGAGCTACCAGAGAAGTCCCCTCTCTAACACACAGCAAGTGAGTCCAAGTTTTTCTCTTCACCACTACTAAGACTTTTGTTGTTGTGGGGCTCGAACTCAGGACGTGGGCACTGTCCCTGAGCTTTTTTGCTCAAGGCTAGTACTCTACCACTTTGAGGCAAAGCCCCACATCCAGTTTTCTGGTGGTTCGTTGGAGATAAGAGTCTCATGGACTTTCCTGCACAGGCTGACTTTGAACCAGGATCCTCAGACCTCAGCCTCCTGAGTAGCTACGATTACTGGCTTCCTCTAGGATCTTTTTTTTTTCTTTTAATTTTTGCAGTAGATTGGTCAGGCCCAGAACCTACAGATCCACCTAGTCCAAAGCCGCTGCCACCACCTCCTCCTCCTCCTCTTCCTTTCCTCCTGGCCAGTGCTGGAGCTTGAACTCAGGGCCTGGGCACTGTCCTTGAGCTTCTTTTGCTCAAGGCCAGCATTCTACTACTTGAGCCACAGCACCACTTCCAGCTTTTTCTGTGTAGGTGGTACTGAGGCATCGAACCCAGGACCTCATATATGCTAGGCAAGCACTCTACCACTAAGCCACACTCCCAGCCGCCCAAAGCCTTCTTGATCTTCCACTTGTACCTAGATTGGCTGCACCTGAATTCTGCTAGCCAATAAGGGCCCCTTAGTGGTTGTGAGGTAGCTTAGGAAGAGGCCCCCTCCTCCTTGCACCTGCCCCTGAGTCCTATCTTGCTTCAGAGTCTAACATCTTCAACGGAGGAGGTAGAGTACAGGTGCCTATAGGCAAGCTTGGCATATCTGCTGGTGCTGCAGGTTGCTGACATGGCCAGCAGGTGGCACCAGAGGGGAGCTTCGAATAGGAAGTTGGGTGGGCTAAAAGGATTAGACTCTTAAGAGTCACCTGGCCAAACTTGGTGCCTCTGGCTAATGCCTGTAATCCCAGCTACTCTGGAGGCTGAGATCTGAGGATCCTGGTTAAAAACAGCCTAGGAACCAAAAGACCATGAGACTCTTATCTCCAATTAATCACCAAAATGCCGGCAGTGGAGCTGTGGCTCAAGTGGGAAAGCTTCAGCCTTTTAAAGAAAAAGCTAAGGGATAGCACCTAGGCCCTGAATTCAAGGCATGAGTACCTAAAGAACAGTGGGGTTGGTAAGGTTTTTTTTGGGGGGGAGGGTGTCACATTTATCAGGTTCTTCTTTTCCCTGCCTCAGTTTCCTTCCTACCTTATCGATGTGAATAATCTCCAGTAAATTATCTCAAGATCTTAAGTGTATCTTCCCTTCACCATTACCATCTTCCCCTTCCCAACCCCCCAATCTTGTAATCCAGGCTTGAGACACTGGAAAATAGTTTAGTTTAGATTTTCATTATTTGTGTGTGCCAGTACTGGGGCTTGAACTCAGATCCTGGCCCTGTCATTCACCCCCCCATCCTCACTGCCTCTACACTTAAACTTTATGGCATAGGTTTTTTCGTTTGTTTATTTGTTTTGTTTATAAGGCCGCAGATTGCCAGAATTGGTATTCGTGCAGGGCTTAGCTAAGACACGTCTTATTTGCCTGTAGAACTTTGAGAGGCTAGAGGGTCCTGCAGAATCAAGCCCTCCTGGGGGCTGGGCCTGCTGGCATCCTTTTTGGCTGAAGGCTGACCCTCTGCCCCCAGCCCCAACAACCCAAGGGCTGTGCTGAAGAGGTTGATGGGAGCGTTGCCATTGGTGATTAGGGTTGACTTCAGGCCCAGTGACTGGAGCAGTTTTACCTGCAAGAAAGGGAGGGAAGTAGACATCAGACACTCCATACTTCCCACCCTGTCCTCATAGCCCTCCGGAGGCTTGAACCTGATCTGAAGAGATGACTCTCTTCTCCTCGTAGTGCCCTGCTTTCCTTCCTTCAGGTGTGCTCTGATAGCTCATCCCTGTAATCCTAGCTGCGGAACCATGCTTGGAGACTTTTCTGCCTAACTGGCTTCCAACATTGACTCTTCAGATCTTAGTGATCTGAATCACTAGGACTACTGGCATTATCACCAAGGCCTAGCTGGGCAAAGACGTCTGCATGTGTGTAAACAAAACACGTGTCCTGGAGGGAAAAAAAAAAACAAAACAGGAAAATGGCTCCCCTAGGTACCAAAAAAGTGTTTGTGTGCACGCATGCACGTGCACACGCACACACACACACACTGCCAGGCACCTGTAATCCTAGCTACTTAGGAGGCTGAGATCTGAGGATCACAGTTCAAAGCCAGTCCAGGCAGAAAAGTCCCTGTGAGACTTGATACTGTGGCTCAAGTGGTAGAGCGCTAGCATTGAGCACAGAGAGGCTCAAGCCCAGGGCCTAGGCTCAGGGATAGGGCCTAGGTCCTGAGTTCAAGCCCCACAACCAACAAAACAAAACCAAAAACCCTTAAGGGTAGGTATCTTTCTGGGAGGGAGACTCTGGCAGAAGCCATGCTTTCTTTGAAGGAATGCTCAAACATCATCAAAGTTGATGAATGAACCACCTATGAGATCTCTGGACCCAAGGGATAAAACTGTGCCACAGCACGCATCACAGACAGAATGGATTATATGTCACAGCCGAGGAGAGCACTGAGCTAAAGGGGATCTGAGTCCAAACCCCATAAATATCCATGACGTTGGAGCACTCATGGTCCTGTGATCCCCGGGCATCCACCCCCACATCTGGGCATGCGCCATCTCTGATCTTTCCTTTGCTTTACGGGGAATCTTCCATGGTCTCTACCTCACTATGTCCTAACATTCTTTTCTGCAATTCCATCGCTACTCAGTACCCAAGGGCCAGATGGAGACCTTCTCCCTGGAACATCATTGGTCCCAGTCTGTTCACATGAGCACTGAGCACTGAGCACAGACCAACATGGCCCCAGCAGCTCCGGCTCCTAGCAGAGTCCAATACAGTCCCTGAGGCTGACACATCAGGACATTGTGTTCAAGTGACCCCTTCAGGCAGGGCAGTTCAGTTCCTACCCCTGACATCTTAGATATGGGGGGAGGGTGAGAATGTGTGTGTGTGTGTGTGTGTGTGTGTGTGTGTGTGTGTGCTGGTCCTGGGGCTTGAACTCAGAACTTGGGTGCTGTCCATTAGCTTTTCTGCTTGAGACTAGCACCCTACCACTTGAGCCACAGCTCCTCTTCTGGTCCTTTGGTGGTTCGTGGGAGGTTAAGAGTCTCACGGACTTTCTTGACCCATTTGGCTTCAAACTGTGATCCTCACATCTCAGCCTCCTATGTAGCTAGGATTACAGGCGTGAACCACCAGTGTCTAGCTCTCTTCCTAGATGTCGAGTTTGCCTCCTCCAACTCTCACCTGCATCTCGGGCCCAGCCACTGCCAGGTCCCTTATGGTGCTGGGGCCCAGGGCCTCGGTCATCTGCTTGAACTTCTTGGCCTCCACATCAGCCAACTGCTGGGCCTTCTTTACTTCCAGCTCTAGTTGGGCCTGAGCATAGACCAGTTCCAGCTCTCGAACTTTCTTTATTCTGTCAAGCTCAGCTTCCTGCAAGGGGAAAATCCAGCTGGTTTCAGATCATGTGCTTCTGGGGACTGGCTAGTGAGTTGCCAGAGCCAGCAGGTCCCCTGAGGAAACTGAGGCAGACGGGTTAGGGTTGGGAGCTTTTTCAATCTCTAGCCGAGCCTCAATATGAATGATACCTGGCCGAGGGTTTCAAATAAGGCCATGTCTGTAAAACACACACAGTAGGGGTGAGGGAAACAATCGTACCTTCAAGGAATGCCCTCAACACATTACCACAGAGCAACACCTAACCTTTGTGAGCCTAAGGATACTTAAATAGGGTGCGTGTTAGGGTGCGTGGTCTCTGACTTAATTTCAGGCCTCCCCAGCCATGGCCTTCCACGGAGGGCCTCTCCCCAACTCACTGTTTCAATGGCCAACGCCTCTGCCTTCAGCTTGGCCTGCAGCACAGACCCTTCCCCTTCGATCCGAGCTGCCTCTGCCCGGGACTCGGCCTCCGCTTTGGCATTGCCAGTGCTCTCCACTGCCACACTGGAGGGGAGACAGTCATGTGAGGTCCAGGAGAACGCCCTGCCCATCTGGGGCTTTGATTTTCTCTATGTGATGCGCTTCCCCCAGCCCCCCATCTCTCTCTCTCTCACACACACACACAACATCTGTCCCCAGACTCAGCTTGGCCTGGCCAGGCTTTTTCTCTACTTCTCAACCCACCCACCTCATAGCCTCAAGCTCCAAGAGTTCCTTTCGGGCTTTTTCGGCTTCTGATTGGTCCAAGATCTTCTGTCTCTCCAGCCGTCCCCGGGCCTCCTGCTCTAGTCTCTGAGCCTCATGCCTGACAGAGAGTGAGGACAGGTAAGATGCAGGCCTGGGGCCCCGAGCTGGGACAGGAGGAGCGAGGGGAGAGAATAGCACGCTATGAGGAATCAGGACAGACCTTCCCAGCCTCGCTTCCCACTCCCACAGCCATTCCAAAAGCAGCTCTATTCACAAGTCTATATGTGAGGACACAGGAATGGCGGGGTTCACCCCCCCTCCTCCCATCCATACCTCTCCTGCTTTTACAGATGGCATCCACCAGTGGGGGGAAAAGCAAACAAGCAAGGATGACTTCAGACAGAGACAAGCATCTGGGTGAGCAGGTAACATGGGTACTATTGCAATTGGGAGAGGAAGAAAAGAGCTTGCCAAGGCTAAGACTCTAGAGCAGAGGAGAGAGAAGAGGCTGCGTTGGAAACACTCCAGGGAAAGTGCTGGAATGGCTGATGTGAGAAAGGCTTAGGTGGGCTGGGAAGGTGGCTTAGCGGTAGAGTGCTTGCCTAGCATGCACAAAGCCCTGGGTTCCATTCCTCAGTACCACATACACAGAAAAAGCTGGAAGTGGTACTGTGGCTCAAGTGGCAGAGTGCTAGCCTTGAGCAAAAGAAGCTCAGGGACAGTGCCCAGGCCCTGAGTTCAAATCCCAGGATAGGCAAAAAAAAAAAGATGGCTGCAGGGGACCGTTAGCAGACGCCATGTTATTGGAGCTTGGCAGTGGCTGAGTTGGATCCCTGGGGCCTCACTCACTTGGCTGCGGCCTCCTGGGAGTTGGTAGTGATCTCGATGGCCAGCTGGACGCTGCGCTGTAGGGCATCTCGAGTCCTCTGGTCCACTGGCTCCACTGACTGCACATCCACGCTGCTGACCACCAGCCCATTTTGGGGAAAGACAGCCCGGTCCCGGGGCCTGGGCAGGCCCATGCTGTCAGGGCCCTTGGCTTCAGAGGTCTCAAAGCCAAAGACCGCCATGCGGATAATGCGAGCTGAGTTCTTGTGGAAGTCATCGAAGGAGACGGAGGCCACGGCACCGCGCACGCGGGAGGCAATGGCCTTGCAGGCATCACCCACGAAGTCGGGCACTGAGAAGAGCTTGGTGGTCTCTCGAGGATCATTCCGGTCACTCACCTCAAAGTGCCTGGAAGAAGAGAGACCCAGGGCTGGGAAGGTGGCTCAGTGGTAGAGCACTTGCCTTGCATGCCTGAGGCCCTGGGTTCGATTCCTCAGCACCACATAAGCAGAAAAAGCTGGAAGTGGTGCTGTGGCTCAAGTGGTAGAGCGCTAGCCTTGAGCTGAAGAGCTGAGGGACAGCGCCCAGGCCCAGAGTTCAGGCCCCACAACCAGACCCCCCCCCAAAAAAGAAGAGAGACCCAGGATGGGAAAGGCATTTCCCCCAGAAAACAATACTGTCTTAAGCTCTCCCTCTCTCCCTCCTTCTCTCTCTCTCCCTCCCTTCCTCCCTCCCCCTCTCTCTTTCTTTCTGTCTATCCTCTCTATTCTTTCCCTATTCTCTTTTTTGTTGCTCCAACTCGAACTCAAACCTCACAGTTTTTTTTTTCTTCTGCTCAAAGCTGGTGCTTTTCCACTTGAGCCACCGCTCTGCTTCCAGCTTTTTGGTGGTAAGTAGAGATAAGAGTCTCACGGACTTTCCTGTTTGCACTGGCTTCCAACCATGATCCTCAGATCTCAGCCTCCTAAATAGCTAGGATTATAGGTGTGAGCCAGCAGCACCTGGCCCCCATCAATCTTTTTTTTTTTTTTTGGTCAGTCGTGGGGCTTGAACTCTGGGCCTGGGCACTGTCCCTCAGCTTTGCTGCGGATTAGGGCACAGACTTTCCACCCCCAAGCATCTCTCTTCCCCCCAGGCTTTCTGGGGGCAGTGCCCAGCTTCGCAATCCTCACCAATTGTAGGCAAGCTGGAGCTGCAGCCTGGCGTGATCGGCCGTTTCAATGGTGATGACATCCGTGAAGAAGTCAGGCCCAAGCAGCAGGCAGAGAGCCCGGCGGGCGTGTGGACGTTTGGGTCGCCCAGCCGAGAGGGACAACATGGTGAACTGTTCCTCAGGACCTAAGGACACCAGCTCAGGCCCAAAGACCACCCTGCAGGGGTGGGGTAGGTGGGTGGAGAAAGGGAAGAGGTCAGACCCACGGACACCCACCATCCCTCCCCAGCCCCCCTGCCTGGCTGGCACCTCACCGGGCTTTCTTGGCTCTGTAGTCGTAAACCTGTACGGCTGCATTGTGGGGGACGCGGTAGCTGACCACGCGGGTCTTGTTGCGGGGAGCTGAGGGCTGACGGGCCTTGGCTGAGTCCATCTGGCCCCTGTCTGCCAGAGGGTCGTACCCCTTGTTCAGTAGCTCCTCCACCCCAGGGGGCAGCTCCTTCTCCCACAGGACCTCATCCTGGGTCAGCATGTAGGTGCTTCCGATCACAGCACGCACCTGGGGGACAGAGCTGAGGTCATCAATGCATGAAAGACGGGGGGGGGGGAGGAAGAACTCCCACCATTCCAGGCAGAACTGGACCAGGAGTACCATCGTTCATCCGGGTTAAAGGTGGCCTCTACAAAAGCAAGGCTGGCCTCTATCTCAGCTCTGGCATCTGCTCACAGCTGCCTTGTCCCCTGTGTCTGTTCCCTTATCTAGAAAATGCATGGGACAGCCAGTGGCTCAGGCCTGTATTCCTAGCTTTTCAGGAGGCTGAGATCTGAGCATCAAGGTTCAAAGCCAGTCCCAATTTATTGCCAAGCAGCCAGAAGTAGAGCTGTGGCTTAAGTGTCAGAGTACTAGCCTTCAACAAAAACACTTAGGGACAGGACCTTAGGGATAGGACCTTGGCCTTGAGTTCAAGCACCAGGACTGGCACACGTACAAAAAAAAAAAAAGGAAAGAAAGAGCAGGGTACCACTGGCCTATGCTTACAATCCTAGCTATTCAGTAGAGTAAGATCTGAAGGTCAAGATTGTAAACCAGCCTGGGCAGGAAGGTCCATGGGACTCTTATCTCCAATGTATCACAGAAAGAAGGGAAAACGAAGCTGTGAGTCTGGTGGTAGAGCACTATTCTTGAGCAATAGGAAGGAGCTCATAGATAGCGCCCAGGCCCAGAGTTCAAGCCCTGAGATCAGCAAAACAAAACAAAAACGAACAAACAAACAGAGCTGGGCAGCACTGGTGGCTCACGCCTGTAATCCTAACTACTCAGGAGACTGAGATCTGAGGATCTCAGTTCAAAGCCAGCCTGGGCAGGAAAGTCCCTGAGACTCTTATCTTCAATAAACCACTCAGAAAACTGGAAGTGGCACTGTGGCTCAAGCGGTAGAGCGGTAGAGCGTTAGCCTTGAGCTGAAGAGCTGAGGGACAGCGCCCAGGCCCAGAGTTTAAGCCCCACAACCACCACCAACAACAACAAAAAAGATATGCATAGATAGCAAATGTGCATGGATTAACGCCCTTCTTTCTTGTCAGTCTAGCAGCAGCTGTGATCAATGAAGTTGAAGACCCCTCCACACCTCCATCCCATGCTCCCCTTTCAGGAAGTCACCATTGTGGTCCCACAGCAACAAAGGGCCCAGTCCTGAGCGTTACCTTTCCAGTCTTGACATCCTGCACGTAGATACCCTCGTTTTCATCCAGCGGGATGGCTTGCCGCTCCTCCACCACCTCCACCTTGGCAGATGGCACATATTCCAGGGGTCCACGGATGAGCCAGCGGTCGCCAGCCTGGCGAGATACCTTCTCCTCCTCCTCGCCCTCCTCCAGGGACTGCAGAGCCCGTAGCAGCAAGCCCTGCTGCTCTGACAGCACATATACATCCTGGATGCCTCGTTCCAGCCTCTCTCCCGGCTGCAGGAAAAAGGACTTCTCTCCCTAATAGGGAAGAAGAGGCTGCTTAGGAACTCACAGTGATCTGGGGCTCCTGTGGAGGACAGGGGTCCCCGCTAGAGCACTGTGAGACTCGGCAGAAATTCGTCTATTCAAAACACATTGTGAAAGGTTTCACAAACTATGATGACCAAGATCTGCAGACACCAACAGTCAAGAATTAACCTAAGCTAGGTGCTGGTGGCTCATGCCTATAATCCTAGCTACTCAGGAGGCTGAGATCTGAGGATCTCGGTTCCAAGCCAGCCTGGGCAGGAAAGACCCTGAGACTCTTATCTCCAATAAACCACTACAAAACCAGAAGTGGCGCTGTGGCTCAAGTGATAGAGCACTCACTCGCTTTGAGCTGAAGAGCACTGGGACAGGGCCCAGGCTGAGAGTTCAAGCCCCATGACCAACAACAACAAAAAAAATTAACCTAAGTTGGTATGATGAATCACTCCTCTAGTGCAGGTTTAGGAAAAAAAAAAAAGGCCAGCTGCTAGTCAGACTGTCTCCAAAAAAACCCCAAAAAGTCAAAATGAAAAAGAAGTTATTGAAAATTGTTTAAGGTGATAGATAGGCGAATTATTTGATCATTATGTTCTGTACATTTGCATCGAATTATATTGCATTCCACCAATATATACAATTAAGTGTTTATTTAAAAGACAGATATATAAACTGGGGGCTGGGGGGGCTCATGCTTATAATCCTAGCTACTCAAGAGGTTGAGATCTGAGGATCACAGTTCAAGGCCAATCCAGGCAGGAAAGTCCATGAGACTCATCTCCAATTAACCATCAGAAAACCAGAAGTGGAGCTGTAAGCTCAGGGACAGTGCCCAGGCCCTGAGTTCAAGCTCCATGATCAAAAAATATATATATATATATATAAAAATGTGCACTCTGTGTGTATGTGTGTGTGTGTGAGAGAGAGAGAGAGAGAGAATTAACCTACTATCCCTCTTCATCTCATTTTTTTCTTTTTTGTGCTGGTACTGGGAATTGAACTCGGGGTCTCCTGTTCTCACTTGGCTTTTTTGCTCAAAGCTGACATTCTACCACTTGAACCATACCTATACTTTTTTCTTTGTGCTTGTTCTAGGGCCCAAGCACTGTCCTAGAGCTTCTGACTGCTCAAGACTAGGATTCTACACTTGAGCCATAGCTCTGCTTCCAGCTTTTTTGGTAGTTTTAGTGGAGATGAGTCTCATAGACTTTCCTGCCTGAGCTGGTTTTGAACGATGATCCTCAGATTTCAGTCTCCTGAATAGTGGGGATTATAGACATAAGCCATTGGCGCACCTGGCTCCTCCACACCTATACTTCTTTTTTTTTTTTTTTTTGGTCGGTCGTGGGGTTTGAACTCTGGGCCTGGGCGCTGTCCCTCAGCTCTTCAGCTCAAGGCGAGCGCTCAACCACTTGAGCCACAGCGCCACTTCCGGTTTTCTGGTGGTTTATTGGAGATAGGAGTCTCACCGTCTCTCCTGCTTGGGCTGGCTTTGAACTGCGATCCTCAGATCTCAGCCTCCTGAGTAGCTAGGATTACAGGCATGAGCCACCAGCGCCCGGCCTGAGGCCATTTTTTTTTCCCATACTTTTCAACCCTTCTTAGTTGAATCTACAGGCACAAAACCCATGGATCAGAAGAGATGAGTTTGTTTTTTACTGAGGTATAATCCACATACAAAATTTACCCAGAGTATACAAGTCAGTTGGTTTAGTATTTTCAGCATTGGACTATATAAGTCTACAATAGTTTGATCACCCTGAAAAAGAAACATTGTATCTAATAGCAGTTTCTGTCATTCATTACAACCTACCCACCCTTACTACCCTGCTATCTTTCTAGGTTTGTCTATTCTGGGCATTACATGTAAATTACACACTCATGTTCTTTTTCTTTCTTTTTTGGCCAGTCCTGGGGCTTGAACTCAGGGCCTGGGCACTATCCCTGAGCTTCTTTTTGCTCAAGGCTAGCACTTTACCACTTGAGCACAGTACCATTTGGGCTTTTTCTCTTTATGTGGTACTGAGGAATCGAACCCAGGGTTTCATGCATGCGAGGCAAGCACTCTACCATGGAGCCACATTCCCAGCCCTTTAGTTCTTTTTACGGAGGAATGATATTCTGTTTATGGTTATGCCACAACTTTGTCAGGTTGGAGCTTGAACTCAGGTGCTGTCCCTGAGCTTTTTTGCTCAAGACTAATACTCGATCATTTAAAGCCACAGCGCCACTTTTGGTTTTCTGGTGATTAATTGGAGATAAAGTCTCACAGACTTTCCTGCCTGGGTTGGCTTCAAACTGTGATCCTCAGATCTCAGTCTCGGAAGTGGCGCTGTGGCTCAAGCTGTAGAGCGTTCGCCTTGAGCTGAAGAGTACAGGGACAGCACCCAGGCCCAGAGTTCAAGCCCCACGACCGACAAATGAAACAAAACAAAACAAAAGACAAAAGATCTCAGTCTCTTGAGTAGCTAGGATTACAGGTGTGAGCCACCGATGCCCAGCTTATGCCACAACTTTTTATCCATTCAGTTGGTGGATATTTGGATATTTTGACATTTATTCTAGGGGAGGTGGTGCTGAGATTTGAACTCAGGACCTTGCATTTTTGCTCAACTTGGTTGCTTATGGCTGGTGCTCTACTACTTGAGTCAGACCTCCAGTTCTGCTTTTTGCTAGTTATTTTAGAGTTGGGAGTCTTGTGAACTTTTTGTGCCTGGGTTGGCCTTAAACTTCCAGATCTTAGCCTCATGAGTAGCTAGGATGACAGACGTGAACCACCATCTACTGTGTTGACTTTTTTGTTCTCTTGGGTTTTGTTTTGTTTTTGTCAGTCGTGGGGCCTGAACTCTGGGCCTGGCACTGTCCCTAAGCTCTTCAGCTCAAGGCTAATGCTCTACTACTTGAGCCACTTAGGGCTTGTTCTGCTTATGTGGTGCTGAGGAATGGAACCCAGGGCCTCAGGCATGCAAGGCAAGCACTCTACCACTGAGCCACCTTCCCAGCCCAGTCTCTTGGTTTTGCATATAAAATATGCCAAGAGGACTGCCACAGGCCTCCATTTCCATATTGTCTAGGCTGTGTTCATGACACGACACCCGAGCTGAACCATTTGTAGAAACCTAGAGGCTTAAATATTCTCTCCTACCTTTTGCAGACAGTTGGCTGTCTGTGGTATTCCCACGTACAGTTCCGTGGAAGGGGGAGGTGGGGGGGTGGGGAGGGAAAGCTGTGAGAATTATTTTAAGCAAGATAACAAAGGTTCCAGAATACTGAGAGCCAATTCTGGGTGTTCAGGCATAGGAGACCAGCAGGACCCCTTTCCCAAAAGAGGCAGCAGGTACTTGGGATCTGGGGTGGAGGGGTGGGGGGGGGCACCAGGGACAGGGCCCAGAAAAACCAGGGAAGCAAACAGGACAGCGTCCCATCTACATAGACTTAAGTGCATAAAGCCACTGAAGGCATTTCCACATGGTGTACCTGGCTTGCAAAGCAATTCAGGGTAAGAGCTCAGAAGGCCTCCTGCCACTTGGGGCCTCGGCCTCGGCTAGCAGGCACACACGGAGGCTCTGGAAAGCTCACCTTGATGACCTTCTTTTGGCCCAGCTGGTTCTTGCCATCTGCTCCGACGGGATCAAGGATCACACAGTAGTGTTGGGGGCCCAGTGTGGTGATGGGCACCACCCCCAGCATCTCCTCATTGACATCGGGCACGTGGGCCGCTGTGTCCTTCACCATCACCAGCCATTCCTCCCCCGTGCGACGGGCCACACCACGGAAGTCCAGGAAGCTCTGCCGAGCCCGCAGGTGCAGAGCTGTCTGTAGGAGACAGGGTATTAGAGGAGCCCGCCCTCCAACTTCCTGCTCACATTTCCTTGGGGATCTGGCCAATAAACACTCCCAGATCTGAGGGAGAATTTCTACCATCCCAGGAGGACAATTCGTTTGTATGTGGATGCCAGTGCTGAGGCTCGAACTCAGGGCCTCAGACTCTCACTTAACTTTTTTACCCAAGGCCGGGGGGCTCTACCACTTGAACCACACTTCTGCATTTCTGGCTTTTGGCTGTTTAGTTGGAGATGAAAGTCTCTTAATTGGTCTTCCTGGTCTGGCTTTGAACCACAATCTTCAGATCTCAGCCTCTTGTTTTGTTTTGTTTGCCAGTCCTGAGGCTTGAACTCAGGGCCTGGGCCCTGTCCCTGAGCTTCTTTTGTTCAAGGCTAGCACTCTGCCACTTGAGCCAGAGCACCACTTGCGGCTTTTTCTGTGTATGTGGTACTGAAAAACCCAGGGCTTCATGCATGCCAGGCAAGCACTGTACCACTAAGCCATATTCCCAGCCCCTCAACCTCCTTAGTAGTTAGGATTACAGGCATGAGCCACCAGCACCAGGCCTCAGGAGGACTTTGTAACCTTCACAGCTGCCCCAAGGTTCCTCTCAGATCATCTGGCTTCTGAATTCTCTCTAGTGACCCTAGAAATATAGCTTCACTTTCCTCCCACTGCTCACAGTGGGCGGCTCACAGTGGGAGGAAAAGCCCAGGGTCCCCTGACCCAGATCCCAGGGCACAAACCTTTTCTGTAAGGATGATAGCATCCACCAGATCCAGAACTTCCTCAAAGACTGCTGGAAGATAGGCACCCACTGAGCGGACCAGCCATTCTTCTCCTGGGCCAAGCGAAGGGTCAAAGGTTAGACAGACTCCTCAGTTGCCCATGCAACAGGGGACCAGTTGGTCCCCAGGCTTAAGGTTCTTCGCTCCCTTTCTAGAAGGCCGGAGGAAAACTAACCCCTACCCCAGGAAAATCAAAAGAAGGTCTTCTAGAAGCTGGGGATAGGAACAGACACCTGTAATCTAGTACTTAGAGAGCAGAGACGGGGGCCCCTGAATTTGAGGTGTGGGACCAGCCCGGGCTACATAGAGAGATCCTGTCCAAATATAAATAGATAAATGAAGACTAATAAATAAATAAAAAGGAGGAGGAGGAGGAGGAAAAGAAGAAGGAAGAAGAAGAAGAAGAAGAAGAAGAAGAAGAAGAAGAAGAAGAAGAAGAAGAAGAAGGAGAAGAAGAAGGAGAAGAAGCAGCAGCAGCAGCAAACTAGGTTTGTAACACTAGCTACTCAGGAGGCTGAGACCCTGAGAATTGTGATTTAAAGCCAGTCCAGGCAGAAAAGCCCATGAGATTCTTTCTCTCCAATTTACCATAAAAAAGCTGGAAAGTGGAGCTGTGGTTCAAGTAGTAGAAGGCCAGCCATGATCAGGAAAGCAGAAGGACAGAAGGCCAGGAGTTCAAGATCCAGTACACACACACACACACACAGAGCAGCAGCAAACAGGCATATGGCTTAAGCCTGCAATCTAAGTTACTGGGGAGACAGAGATCTAGGCATCATGGTTCAGGCTAGTACAGGCCTAAAGTTTGCCTGGCTTCATTTTAACCAATGGCTAGGTAGCGTGGTGTATGGCTGGCATTCCCCTGGGACTAGGGGAAACACAAGATAAAACACAAGGACTGCGTTTTATCTGCAGAATAACCATGGTGAAAAGGGGCTGAAGCCATAGCTAAGCAAGCCCTTTGCAAGTGTGAGGCCCTGAGTTCAAAGCCCAGGACAGACAGGCAGACAGGCAGACAGACAGACTAGGAAAGGCCCCTCTGCCCCAGGCTTCGTGGGCTTCCCCTCTTTTCCACTCGCAGTGGCCCCACCTGTCACCCTCTCCTTGCCATCCCGGTCCCAGCATTCCTTGCGGGCCCTCAGCCGCAAGGCCTGGTTCTGCCTGATGACTGTTGCCTGAATGATCTCCACGACCTCCACTTCCTTCCGGGGGATGTACGTGCCTGGGAAGGGGAGGGGGGGAATGGAGCTGAGATCAGTGGTCAGAAGATGGCAGACCCACAGCGGGGAAAGGTGGGGTGGGGAGAAGGAAGCCACAACCCTGACCAAGCCCCATGAGGAGATCATGTACCGGGCCCCTCAAACAGCCATTCATCTCCTGCCAACACCTTGTCTCCATTCTTATCCTCAAAGTCCAGCAAAGCCTTAAGGTGCAGGGCAGTGTTGGGCAGAACAACTTGCAGTGGGGTGATGTCCTAGGAAGAGAAGAAAAGGTTATAGGGTATTCCGTGTTATGACTCTGGCTGGGTGCTGGTAATCCAGGCTTGTAATCTTAGCTACCTAAGAAGCTGAGATCTGAGGATCTCACATTAAAGCCAGTCTGTCTGGGTGGACAAAGCCAAGAGACTTTCTTCAGCTAATCAATAAAAAGCTAGAAGTGAAGTTATGGCTCAAATGGTAAAGTGCCAGCCCTAAATGAAGACGAGTACAAGGCCCTGAGTTCAAGCATCAGTATCAGTACAGAGAAGAAAAACAAAGGAGGAAAAAAAAAAGCACTGTATAGAGGGATAGGGGTACAGTGACTACTTCACATAGGCAGGCCCTGAGTTTGATCCCCAAACCAGGAGGAAGGAAGGAAAGAAGAAAGAAGAAGGGGCTGGGAAGGTGGCCCAGTGGTAGAGCGCTTGCCTTGCATGCCTGAGGCCTGGGGTTCAATTCTTCAGCACCACATAAGCAAAAAGAAAAAAAGCTGGAAGTGGCGCTGTGGCTCCAGTGGTAGAGTGCTAGCCTTGAGCTGAAGAGCTGAGGGACAGTGCCCAGGCCCAGAGTTCAGGCCCATGACTGGACCCAAAAAAAAAAAAAGAAAAAAGAAAGAAGAAGAAGGAGAAGAAGGTGAAGAAGGAGGAAAAGGAAAAAGAGGAGGAGGTAGAAAGAAGAAGAACCCTAGCTACATAGGAGGCAGTAAGAGGACCGAGAGTCAAGGCCAGCCTGGGAAAAAAGAAGAGACTTCATCTCAACCAATCATCAGACCTGGTGATGAATGCCTGTCTTCCTCCCCCCCCTTTCCCCCCCACCCCCGTCCCCCGCCCAACAGCACAAGCAGGGAGGCTGAGAGCTGAAGATTGAGATTTGAAGCCAGACCTGGCAGCAAAGCCTGTGAGACTCTTATCTTTAACTACCAAAAAGGCCACAAGTGAAGCTGTGGCTCAAATAGTAGAGCACTAGCCTTGAACACAAAAGCTTAGGGACAGTTCCCAGGCCCTGAGTTCAAGCCCTAGGATGAGCACACACACACACACACACACACACACACACACACATCCACATCCAGGTGGCAAGACCAGCCAACAGTCCCCAGAGGAGGAACAAATCTCTTTGGGAGCTGCTGTAGGGGATGGTGGTTAAGGAGGAGGGTAATGAGTCCTATTTATTCCTAGTGAGAACCAGCCAGTGTCCTTCCCCAGCGTTTCCCCTAGCCTGTTTGTTTTCCCCTCAGAAGGCAACAGAGAGCCCTAAGATGGGGTGGCAGGCCCCCACCAAGTGGTAAGTCAGGTACCTTTTCCAGCACCTCCCCTGGGTACAGGGGAAAGGGGTCCTGGGCCAGCCGGATCTCTTGGTCAGCATGGCGAAGCCGTATTTGCCCTGTGACGTCAAACAGCACTGTACCCTGGGCATCCCGGGCCACGGGGTTGACCACCATGCAGTAGTGGCGGGGAGGGACAGTCACCATGCGCTTGGGAGCAAACAGAACCCTGTTGGAAGGTTAGAAAGGCCATGAGAGCTGGGCACTGGTGGCTCACAGCTATAATCCCAGCTACTCAGGAGGCAGAGATGTGAGGATCATGGTTGAAAGCCAACCTGGGCAGGAAAGGCCATGAGATTCATCACCAACAAACCACCAGAAAATCAGAAGTGGCGCTGTGGCTCAAAGTGGTAGATTGCTCACCTTGAGCACAAAGAGGCTCAGGGACAGCACTCAGGCCTGGAGTGTATGAACCACAACTTCCTTCCCAAAGCAAGAAGACTTCCCCACAGCTCTCCCCATTTTGGGAACAGAGAGGAGGAAACAAGGGACCCCACCAACCTCTCATTGTCTTGCCGGATATAAGTCTTTGGGCCAACTTCCACTCGGGACACATTGCTGTTCTGGTCCAGCACATGGATGTAATGGTATGGAGGGATGCGGATGATGGATTCATCAGTTGTCATGCTGAAGACCCTGGTAGCCCTGAGTATAATCAGGAAGAATGGCAGGCAGGTAGATAATGAACACAAGATTAACACAGAAAGCCAGGCACTTGGAGCTCATGCTTGTAAAACTAGCTACTCAGGAGGCTGAGATCTGAGGATCCTGGTTCAAAGCCAGCCTTGAGCAGGAAAGTCCTTGAGACTCTTTTTCTTTTTTTGCAGTCCTGGGGCTTGAACTCAGGGCCTGGCCACTGTCCCTGAGCTTCTTTTGCTCAAGGTTAGGACTCTACCACTTGAGCCACAGTCCCAATTCCAGCCTTTTCTGTTTATTGGTGTGGAGGAATGGAACCCAGGGCTTCATGCATTCTAGGCAAGCACTCTACCACTGAGCCACATTCCCAGCCTCACTCTCTTCTCACACTGACTGTAGCCCCAGATGGAGCTTTAGAAAAAGGCTTCCAGGCTAGAACTTCAAGCTGGTAAAGTTAGTCCAAGGAAGAAGGCGGCTCTGACAGGCTGGCAGATCCCAAGGGCTTGTCTGTAATCCAGGGCTAGCCCATGGCCAAAAGGTTATTTTCATAATTGTCAGGTCGCTGGAGGAAGTAGGCAGCTGGGGGGAAATGTCAGGCTGTGAGGGAAAAACAGGCTACTGCCAAGAGAGACCACGTCCCTATCTGAGTCAACCATTCTTCCAGTGCACTGGCCTAAGACACTCAAACTGACAAAACAAGCTACTCGCCACAAGTTCCCACTCACTGTAAGTTCTGATTTTACCCCACCTATAAAATCTCTGCTGTGGCTCAGGCTTGTAATCCTAGCTACTCAGGAGGCTGAGATCTGAGGATCAAGGGTCAAAGCCAGTCCAGGGGCAGGAAAGAATCCGTGAGACTCTTATCTCCAATTAGCCACTCAGAAAACTGGAAGTGGCACTGTGGCTCCAGTGGTGGAATGCTGAGCTGAAGAGCTGAGGGACAGCGCCCAGGCCCAGAATTCAAGCTCCAGAGCGACCACTCGGATCCCCACCAGGGAGTTCACCTGGGAGCGTACCCCTATAAACTTCCCTGTCAATCTTTTTATTCCTCTCTGCATGGTCTTTTTTTCACCTAAAACCTTACAATAATCTTTGTCTGCACTCCTCTCCCTGTGCATGAAGTAGTCCTGGGATGAGGGGTAAGTGGCCCATTATGGAAGGAATCTTAGACAAAAGTGATGCTTCCAGAAATTCAGCCAGATTAGTACCTAGGAAACCATTCCAGTCCTTTCCTTCCTAGTCCTCTCTTTGGTCCGTTGTTCTGCTTGGTTCCCTGTTGTGAGCAGAGGTAAGGGTAGGGATGGGGAGGAAAGGAAAACTGGGAAATGGTTTTTTAATCCCTCCCCAACTATCCAATCTGTCATGGACTCCAGGGTAGTTTCATCCAGTGCTTGGCTTGTTCGGGAATTTTACGCATATGCACACACACAAACATTTGTCTCTACAGTCAGCACCCTTTGGACTTTGCACATGATCTCTCTCTCTTTTTTTTTGGTCGGTCATGGGGCCTGAACTCTGGGCCTGGGCGCTGTCCCTCAGCTCTTCAGCTCAAGGCTTGCACTCTACCACTTGAGCCACAGTGCCCACTTCTGGCTTTTTCTGCTTATGTGGTGCCAAGGAATCGAACTCAGGGCCTTATGCATGCAAGGCAAGCACTCTACCACTGAGCCACCTTCCCAGCCCCCATGCACATGATCTCTTAAGTCAAACAAAGGCTAAGGAATTGAACTCAGAACTTTTATTCAGAAATTATGGTCAGACCTCTCTTTTCTTCTCCTTTTCCTTCTTCACTTGGACATTAGTGGCTCATGCTGTAGTCCTAGCTACTCAGGAGGCTGAGTGAGATCTGAAGATCAGTTTAAAGCCACCCCAGGGCTGGGAAGGTGGCTCAGTGGTAGAGTGCTTGCCTCACATGCAGGAGGCCCTGGGCTTGATTCCTCAGCACCACATAAGCAGAAAAAGCCAGAAGTGGTGCTGTGGCTCAAGTGGTAGAGCACTAGCCTTGAGCTGAAGAGCTGAGGGACAGTGCCTAGGCCCAGAGTTCAGGCCCCACAATCAACAACAACAACAACAACAAAAAAAAAAAAAAACAGACAGGCTAGCACTGTCTACCATATGAACCACAGGTCCACTTCTGGCTTTTTGTGGTTATTGGAGAAGAGAGTCTCACCCACTTTCTTCCTGGGGATGGTTTCAAATCAGGATCCTCTGATCTCAGCCTCCTGAGTGTAGCTAAGATTATAGGCATGGGCCACTGGCACCTGCTTCAGAAATTGAGTTTTTACACCTTCTAATTCTGTCTTTCTTGTCATTAACTTCAAGAATTAGGAGACCCCCCCCCGCAAAAAAAAAAAAGAAAAACTCAAAATGTTAGGAGACCAGCAATAGAAAATTTGCCTGTACTTCCATGTGTCAAAATTGGCAAGAGCTAAGCAGGAATTTGCCCCCCCTTAGATAGCACACCATTTTGTTGCTCTCCTCTACCCCCTATTATGTACACCCAGGCCACAGAACTAGTGCCTGGCCTTAATTTTAATTTAAATAGTCAGGTGGCTGATGGATCCTGTACTGAAAAGTGTGGTTCCACTTAGATGACACCCAGATAGGGACAATGAGTCATTCATGGCCACACAAGAGTTCATGGTACTATATCAGCACTGGATTCAAGCTGCCTGGGATTATGGACAGCTGTGATATGCAGTTTCATACCTTGTTTCCTTCCTCTCCTTTTGAACTAAGTTCCTCTAAGGTCTCAGAGGAATTCTGCTCCCTCATTCTTTTATATCTTGTAACTTTGTATGGAATCTGAACTTGATCCTTTTCCCTGGGTCCCTTTCACTTGAAGTTAATTTCCCTAAATTGTAGGAAGGTGGCTTTTGTCAACTTCAGTGTTCCTTTTCCAGTCTTTGAAAACCAAGGGGGCCCTCCTCTCTAAATTCCTGCTCTCCTCCCCATGCAAGCCCAGGGCTTCTTTCTTTCTTCTATGTCTCAGCTTGGTTTCTCTTCCATGGTATGAAATGAGATATCAATTTCTGGACAGTCTCCAAGGCTAGGGCTGCCTGGTCGGTGGCTCAAACATTTCTTCAATGAGTGACCGTAGCTGAGTTCCTAGATCGCGTAACCTGTCTGGAGGACTACAAACCAGAATGGATAGCAGTGTCTTACTCTGCATTATGAGGACATACATATACATATGCATATATATACATCCATATATATGTATAATATATAATATAATATATATATGGCGTTCATAGCAGCCCAGCACCCATGGCTCACTCCTGTAATCCTAGCTACTCAAGAGACTGAGATTTGAAGATCAAAGTTCAAAACCAGCTTGCACAGGAAAGTGGGTGACACTCCAAGGACTAAAAAACAAAACAAAACAAAACCCCCAGAATGTGGAGTTGTGGCTCACGTGGGTCAAGCTTGCAACCCTAGGTACTCAGGAGGCCGAGATCTGAGGATCAGGTTTGGAAGCCAGCCTAGGAAGGAAAGTCTGTGAGACTCTTATCTCCAGTTAATCACCAAGAAAAAAAAAACAACTGGAAATGGAGCTGTGGCTCAAGTGATAGAGCACTAGCCGTAAGCAAAAGAAGCTCAGGGACAGTTCATAAGCCTTATGTTCAAGCCCCAGGACCAGCATACACACATGCACACTCAGAACACAGCCTGTCATATGACAGTATATGCTGTGCTATTGTTGGGTGGGGCAGTGTCTGAGACTCCTCCTTCCTTCCTGGCATCGTGGCTTAGCCCTCACTTGTTTACTGACCAAGAGGATGACAAATATATATATATATATATATATATATATATATATATATCACCTCAGCTTTAGGGTAGAAGCACAGTTAAGCAGCAGCTTCCCACAGCCAAAGAAAGCTTTTCCCAGTGGCTCCTGTGCCAGCTTCTCTGCAGAGTGGAATTCTAGCCAGGAAATGGAGGAAGCGAGAGGAAGGGCTCAGCTGCAGGCAGAGGTACAGGCCAGGCTCTGAGGCCCCGGCAGGAAAGAGGTGAACTCCAGAAGGCCCTAGGAGGCTGGAAGCAGGCTCTGAGAGGCGCTCCCATTGGCTCCTTATTGGACAAAGTCCTACTCCCCACTGCCAAGGCCTCTCCACCATCTGCTACCCCAGCTGGGCCCCGTCAGGGGGCTGAGAGCCTAGCCCAGCTCAGTGACTCAGCGAGTCATCTATGGCTGATCCCTCCGGGCTTCTGCCTTGTTCTGTGTGTGTGTGTGTGTGTGTGTGTGTGTGTGTGTGTCCCCTTCACTGGGGCTTGAACTCAGGACCTGAGCACTGTCTCTTAGCTTTTTCCGCTCAAGGCTGGTATTCTACTACTTGAATTCCACATCCATTTTCTGGCTGTTTAGATCTTCCTGTCCGAGCCAGTGTCAAACTCCAATCCTCATTTCTCAGCCTCCTGAGTAGCTAGGATTTTACAGGCATGAGCCTCCATTGTCTGGTTCTTCCTGCCTTGTTGTAAGACTTCTCAGTCTTCCTGCCTTAGTACAAGTATCTCTCTCTCTCTTTTTTTTTTTCTTTTTAAATCAGTCATGGGGCTTGAACTCAGGGCCTGGGCGCTGTCCCTGAGCTCTTTTGCTCAAGAATTACGACTCTGAGCCACTTCTGGTTTTCTGATGGTTCACTAGAGATAAGAGTGTCACAGACTTTCTTGCCCAGGCTGGTTTTGAACAGTGATCTTCTGATCTCAGCCTCCGTGAGTAGCTAGGATTACAGGTGCAAGCCACCAGCACCTGGCTTATTATGCAGATCTTGTCTCACCTCCCTGACCACCCCCAGTGTACCCTAAAGCAGGGCCTTCCGTGGAGTTTACTTACCAAATTCCTTCAGAGCAGGTCTTGCTCCTACATTCACATACACTCTGACAAGTATAACACAGACTTTTATGGCTTACTACATGATATGTACAGTTAGAGATGATTATTTCCAGTATGTTAGGGTTCTTCAAAAGTTAGAAAGTTGTGTTGACCTTTGAAAGGCCTTACCCAACAGTGAGATTTTGTGTGTGTGTGTGTGTGTGTGTGTGTGTGTCGTGGGGCTTGAACTCTGGGCCTGAGTACTGTCCCTCAGCTCTTCAGCTCAAGCCAAGTGCTCTACCACTTGAACCACAATGCCACTTCCAGTTTTCTGGTGGTTAATTGGAGAGAAGAGTCTCACAGACTTTCCTGGCTGGCTTTGAACAGTGATCCTCAGATCTCAGCCTCCTGAGTAGCTGGGATTACAGGCGTGGGCCACCGGGGCCCAACAGCAGTGAGATTCTTTTCTCCAATAACCAGCACAAAGCTAGACATAGAAGCATGGCTCAAGTGGGAGAGCACCAGCCTTGAGTGAAAAAACTGAGAGGGCTGGGAATGTGGCTTAGTGGTAGAGTGTTTGCCTAGTATGCATGAAGCCCTGGGTTCGATTCCTCAGCACCACATACACTGAAAATGGTAGAAGTGGTGCTGTGGCTCAAATGGTAGAGTGCTAGCCTTGAGCAAAACAAGCTCAGAGACAGTGCCCAAGTCAAATCCTAAGACTGGCACACATATACAAAAATAACCTCAAAACTTTCACTTCAACCAAAGTAATGAGTCATGAATCACTATGGATCAGAAATCTTTCAAGGTCATCTGTGCGTGGCTGGCACAGTTCATGTGAAACTGGCAATTCCAAAGTGACATGGCTGCATGTGCTCTGCCGTGAGCAGCAGGGCACCTCTGGGAAGCTTGCTAGTGATGCCGAATCTCGCCAGAGCTTAGAAATGAATCGACCTTCTCACCCAATTCACTGAGGATTTGGGTGCATTCAAAGGCAAGCAAGGCCAAGGCTACAGTAGCTACTCTCAACGTGGGCTGGACATTAGTGGCACCCAGAGATCTCTCTCTCTCTCTTTTTTTTTAATCAGTCATGGGGCTTGAACTCTGGGCCTGGGCGCTGTCCCTCAGCTCTTCAGCTCAAGGCTAGCAGGCACTCTACCACTTGAGCCACAGCGCCACTTGCAATTTTCTGGTGGTTCATTGGAGATAAGAGTCTCATGGCCTTTCCTGCCCGGGCTGGCTTTGAACCAAGATCCTTATATCTCAGACTCCTGAGTAGCTAGGGTAAAGGCATGAGCTACCAGTGCCTGATACAGAGGTCTCTTAAAGCCACTCATCTCTGGGGATTTTTTTTTTGGGGGGTGGGGGCAGAGTTGGTCATAGAGCTTGAACTCAGGGCCTGGGCACTGTCTCTGAGCTCTTCTGTTCAAGGTGAGCACTCTACCACTTTAAGCCACAGTACCACTTCCAGTTTTCTGGTGGTTAAACAGAGAAAAGTCTCTCAGTTAACTGGTAGAGCACTAGCCTTGAGTAAAAAAGCTCAGGGACAGCAGCCAGGCCCTAAGTTCAAGCTTTAGGACCAACACACATATATTAAAAAAAAAAATTAAAAAAGCCCCAGCATTACTACAACAGCAACATTGGGTAGGAGTCATGGTTCAAATGCTCTTTAAGGGAAGATTTCACTCATTCTCCTCCACCTCCCATGGCCTAGCTCCAAGCCACCAACCATCCTGTCCCCACCCTGCCACTAGATCAACACCAAGCTTAGGTTTAAGAGCAGGTATGTGAAGTTTTAGATGCTCTCTTCAATGAGGTTGTCTTTCACTGATTTATTTATTTTTATGCTGGTCTTGGGGCTTGAACTCAGGGCCTGAGTCCCTCCCCCCCCCCCCGCCTCCCTCAAGGCTAGGGCTCTAGCACTTGAGCCACAGCTCCACTTCTGGCTTTTTTAATGATTAATTGGAAATCAGAGTCTGTCAAACTTCCCTGCCTGGCTTTGAACTGAAATCCTCAGATCTCGGCCTCCTGAGTAGCTAGGGATTACAGGTGTGAGCTACAAGCATCCAGAGCGTCTTTTACTGGCTTGAGATTAAACATTCTAATACTGTTTGGAGGATGAGTCAAATGGCTCAGGACCATCCAAGGGTTTGCAGCTTCCTGGTTTTTCATAACCACTTCCTGCTTTAGATGATTATTACTGAGAATTGACATTCTGTCAGATGTAATTCACTTTTTTTGTTTTTCAGCAGCAATTTTGAGAGAGGGGCACCCTAGCAGTCTGTTCCTCCTAGCTCCCCTGGGTGCTAGTGAAAGTCCATCATTGAAAGTGAGAGTGTGTATGTGTGTGTGTGTGTGTGTGTGTACTGAGGCTTGAATTCAGGATGTCCCTCAGCTCTTTTGCTCAGTCTACTGCCCTATCACTTGAGTCATAGCTCCACTTCTAGCTTTTTGGTGGTTAATTGGAGAGAAGTCCCAGGGACTTTCCTGCCTGGGCTAGCTTCCAACTTCAATCCTCAAATCTCATTCTGCTGAGTAGCTAGGATTACAGGTGTTAGCCACTGGCACCTGGCTCAGAAAGTTAGGATTTCTTAAGACTGGAAGTCATCCAGGAATCCAGCTTCCGGAACCACTGAAAAACCAAAAGATCTGGCTGCAAATCTTTTCTGTCTCTCTCTTTCCCTCTCTCCCTCGTTCCTTCCTTTTTTTTCTAAGATAACGAATCTCTGCTGGATTTTGGTTCATACTTGTAATACTACCACTCAGAAAGCAGGGGGGGGAGAGGTGGGAGGGGAAGAACAGAGAGAGAGAGAGAGAGAGAGAGAGAGATTCTTGCTATATTGCCCCAGCTAGACTTGATTTCCTATATTCAAATGGTAATTCTGAAGGTCTTCCAAGCCTGGCGTGGACAGCGATGCTATTTTCCAGACCTCAGCCAATGCTGGCTGGGTCAAGGTTTGCAGGAGAGCCAGACACCAGTGGCACATGCCTGTAATCCTAGCTACTCAAGAGGTTGAGATCTGAGGATTGCAGTTCAAAGCCAGCCCAGGCAGGAACATCCATGAGACTCTTATCTCCAATTAGCCACCAGAAAACCAGTGGCTCAAGTGGTAGAGTGCTTGTCTTGAGCTGAAGAGCTCAGGGACAGTGCCCAGGCCCAGAGTTCAAGCCCCACAACCAACCAAAAAAGGTTTTCAGGAGACGCTGGAACTTGTGTTTGAGGCAAGGGCCCTCCCATGAACAGCTCCCACTTGCCTTGAGCTTAATCTACACCCAGTGAAGGATTAGGCGCCCTTAAACAATTCATTTTATTCTCCTTCAAGCCCAGAAGGTACAAAAATTGCTCTGTCACCGAAGTTTGGGCTGGGCCATCCTGACCAGAGGAGACAGAATGGCTTCTCGGGCTAAATCGTCGACATTGAACAAGGCCTTAGGGCTCTGGGTAGGGCTAGTATTGCCCAGGAGACAGAGCCAATAGCAGTTCAAAGGTGGGTGTTTTCTGCAATCTGAACCAACACCCACACTCTACTAACCCAGAACCTGGGAGAGCAAAACCAAACAGGGAGCTCCCTGGCTAACTATGGCCCTAAAGGAGAGCTGTCCTCCCCAAATGGCTCCACCCAAGGGTAGGGCAAATGTTCTGTATGCCAAAGGCAGACACTAGCAGGAATTCCCAGAGATCTACCAGGCATCCATTTGACCAGCAAGCCTTTCCCCCACCTCCCCAGGGTCCACTCAGACAGGGAGTCAAATACACCAGGGAATCTTCTGCCTCAATTACCAGCCCCACTCCAATGTCACAGCTCAAAATCACTAAGTCCTGCTGGAAGGTCCGACTGAGCTTTCTATTCTTCATTTCTCCTTCCCAGAAGAAGAGTCTGGTTTACCACTCAGTGAGGCCTTCTTCACCACAGCTCTGCTAGACTTCCCACCCACAAGCCAGGCGCCTGCAGCTCACATCTGTAATCCTAGCTACTCAGAAAGCTGAGATATGAAGATTGTGGTTTGAAGCGAGCCAGGGCAGAAAAGTCTGTAGAAAAAGTCCTGAGACTCTTATCTCCGATAAATAACTCAGAAAAAGCCGGACATGGTGCTGTGGCTCAAGTGGTAGAAAGCTAGCCTTGAGCACAAAGAGGCTCAGGGACAGCACCCAGGCCCTAAGTTCAAGTTTTAGGACCAACACACATACACACACACAAAAGACTTCCCATACCATCTGTTAAGGCCCACGATCAGCCCTGCCCTGCCCAGGATACCAGGAAAACCTAGACTTTTGGCAGAGTTAACAAATCTCAATGGGGATGATTCATTCACATTCTAGCAGCTCAAGGGGAAAAGCCAGAGGTCAGCTCTCTAGATGATGATATCAAGTGGTCAGGGAGTAGAGCCAAGAACCAATCAAGCTTCAAGATGGAGTCTGAATGCACCCAGTAGAGCTCCCCTCTTCTTAGGGTGCTGGGGAATGGAACCCAGGAACTCAGAGTTGCTAAGCAAATGCTCCACTTTGTGAGCCACACCCCCAGCCCACACCATTACTGGAAGACGAGCGGTCTTGCTCTGTTGCCCAGAAATCCTGGAGATCCTCAGCCTCTCCGGTGGCTGAGACTGCAAATACATGCCATAATGCCTGACAAAGTCCTCTCTCTAACTTCTGTGGGGGGACCCTGTGCCAGAGGCTAGAGATTTGGGGAGTGTGAACTCAATGTTCACTTCAAAACCCAGAAAACCTCACGGAGGGAAAGTGAAACCTCTTAACAGCAAAGCCTCCTCCCTCCTTTCTTCCCCATGCCTGGGCAGAAGCAAGTCCCAAGGAAGCAAAGCAGGGCTAGAGGCAGCTTTGGGGGGCATAGAATGACCGTACTCACATCTATAAGCAGAGGGGCTGTTGCACTTCTCCAGATAAGAAAACTCGCTGCACTAGCACAGAGGATCACTTCCCAGCAGGGCTGGGCCGGCAGGGCGGGGCTTAGGTATTTAAAGGGCCCTTGCAGCTGGGCTGTCTCAGTGGGTGAAGCACCATAGCCAATTCCATGCCTAGGAATTTCTGCCACAGAGCCAGCTGGCATGGTCGCAAAAAAGACTATGGAGAACCAGAGAGCCACAGTCAGGGGAGCTGAGCTTGACTTTGCCCCATCTGTCTCTGATTTCCCAATCAGAGTGAATGCAGTCACGCCTTCTGGGCTCAAGTGGGTAAAGCGGGTTCCAGCTACAGCCTTGGAAGAGAAGATCATTCTGAATGTTTTGTTATTTTTATTTATTTGTCGGTCGTGGGGCCTGAACTCTGGGCCTGGGTGCTGTCCCTCAGCTCTTCAGCTCCAGGCAAGCACTCTACCACTAAGCCACCTTCCCAGGCCCTGAGTGTTTTATTTTTGAGACAGAAAAATCCACGTCTCCGAACATATTTAATAGAAAACACACACACACACACACACAAGCTTTCCTTCTTCCAGAGTTTGGGGCTTGAGCCACGCCTCCAACCCCACTCAACTTGTTCTGGTTAGAAGGATCCAGGCCCCATCAGGTACAGAATCTGCACCTGGAGGCAGTAGCAGTTAACAGTCAATATTTCCGTTGCCGGGGGAAGAGACTACTCCCTGAGGACCGGAGTGGGGGACTGGTGGAGTTGGGGTCCTCTGAATCCAAGCTGAAAAGGTCCCTCCCAGTCCGAAGGATCTGCTCCTCCAGCTTTTTGTGTCGCTTCATGTCTGAGAGGACCTTGTCCAGGCGAGCCTCTCGTTTCTGACTTCTGGCTGACATTCCTGGAGAGGAGGAAGACAGGAAATGTGGACAGGACCCTGGCACTGTGCTCTAGCCTTCTACAGCTTAAAGGAGCATAAAGTTGGGAAGCTGTTTAACCTATAGGTTTTGGTTGTGTGTGTGTATGTGTGTGTGTCCTGGGGCTTGCACTCAGGGCCTGGGCACTGTCCCTGATCATCTTTTGCTCAAGGCTAGCACTCTACCACTTGAGCCACAGCGCCACTTCCAGCTTTTTCTGCTTATGTGGTACTGAGGAATCGAGCCCAGGGCCTCATACATGCAAGGCAAGCACTTTACCACTGAGCCTCACCCTGAGCTTTATTTTTAAATCAAAGCTAGCACTGTTTCACTTGAGCCATAACTCCACTTACAGCTTTTGGTGATTAATTGGAGATAAGAGTCTCAAGGACCTTTTTGCCCAGGTTGGCTTCAAACTTCGATTAGCACAGCTCAGCCTTCTGAGTAAGTAGGATTATAGGTGTGAGCCAACAGTGCTCAGTTTGGATTTGTGTTTTAAAAGGATCAATCTGCTGACTGGAAGCAGGGACCAGTTTAGAGTGATTCCAACTGTCTAGGTAAGAGAGCTGGGCCAGATAGCTTGGATGTGTGTATGTGATTGAAGGTAGAGAATGGCAGGTGGGCTTGATGGAGCTAAAGGGACTTACTGCTGGTTTGACAGTCTGGGTACAAAAGAGAAGAGTGAATTCTGGGAAGGCACATGCCATGGGAAAGTAATGTATCCAAAAGTACAGGGATGTGGATGGAGGTAATAACGCCAGGCATGGGAAGCCTGATTGAACATCTTTGATGGTCTTTTTTTTTTTTTTTTGGTGGGGCCTGAACTCTGGGCCTGGGTGCTGTCTCTCAGCTCTTCAGCTCAAGGCTAGCGCTCTACCACTTGAGCCACAGCGCCACTTCCGGCTTTTTCTGCTTATGTGGTGCTGAGGAATCGAACCCAGAGCCTCATGCATGCAAGGCAAGCGCTCTACCACTGAGCCACCTTCCCAGCCCTGTGAAGGCAGATAGCATTAACTTAAGCCAGAAAGATGGTGCCACTGTGTGCACATTCCTTCCGGTTGCCAGGAGTTCGGTGACAGCTCAGGCACCTAGAAAGATGTCTTGAAGAGAACACCTTTTGTAGTAACTGCATGGAGAGGAACATTCCCTCCCCCAGCTCCTCCCTTTTGTACCTGGGGTGCGTCTTCGGTCAATCAAGGAGTCCTTTGGTGTCACCGGCTCATCATCGAAGTCAAATTCCGTAGGCATGTGAGGTCTGAGACAGAAGGACAGAAGGAAGGGTGAGGGGTGGTAGCCCAGGCACATACACACATTTCTCCCTGGCCTGTGGACTCTTTCCTGCTACGTTCCCTTCTTCCTTCCCTTTACTTCCTGCACTTCTGGGTCCTACTCTTTTTCTCTATTTCCCCCTAGCAGCAGAGAAATAGCGCCCACCCCCCTTACCCCCCCCCCAGATACAAAGCAGCGAGCCCTCACTTTTGCTCCTCCTCCTCTTTGGCCTCCGGCTCTTCGTCCGATCTCTCCTCTTCACTCTGGGCCTCGGGTGTAGGTGGCCGGCGCGGCAGGATGGCCGCTTGAAGCTCCAGGGTACCGTGGGCAGCCAGCAGCTCGTAGAGCCGCTGGATCTCCGAGGGCGGCGGCATCCACGCCTGCCCATCCGCGGGCAGCTCCAGCTCCTCGTCGCTGCAGGGCACGCCCCAGTCCTCGGCCTCCCCGTCCGCGTGCTCTTCCCCCGCGGTGCTGCCGGCTTCTTGGGTCTCCTCCACCCGGGACCCCTCGAGCTCAGCCTCCTCTTGGCTTCCTTCCCCCTCTTCCTCGGCCTTACTGGCCGAGACCGAGGGGTCTCCGGTATCCTCCACGGCCAGAGCCTGGAGGCCCGAAGTCACTTCCCCTTCTTCGGAAAGAGGCGCCGCGGTGGTGGCCGCCAGGTCTCCATGACTCCGGGAGAGGGACATTGATGGGCCCGGGAGGGACGGGGCCCAGCAGTGGGAGGGGTCCCCCAGGAGGGGGCGCTCGGACCCCGCCCCGCGGACGGGGATCCGAGGACCCGCGCCGAGAGAGAGAGAGGCGTGCCTCTCCGCTCGTCCCCACCCCGCCCGCCCTCCAAACCTGGACCCAACTCGCCCGCCGCCCAACTCCCGCAATTCTGGTCAACTCAGCCGCCGTACACACCTGGAGCGCTAAGACCCGCCTCCCAGGCTGCGCAGGGTCACAGTACGCAGGCGCAGAGAAAGAGCGCGAGAGGGCTCCGCGCTAGTCAAAGCTACTTGGAAGAGGAAAGCAAAGGGAGGTTTGCACATGCGCAGAGACACCCTCGAGGGTGGGGGCACCACAGGCTTCGGGGCCCACAGTAAAGATGGCCACCGCCGCGGCGCATGCGTACACCGCCCAACCAAGTTCTACGAGGAGGCGGTGCCCGGGCCCGGAGGGGGGGGGGGGAACCAAGTGAGACTGGAGGCGAGTCTCATGCAGTCTCTGTTTATTGGTGTTTCAGACTCATGCAGCATCCAGCATACAAAAAGGGAGAATCAGTTTGATATATCTTTTTTTTCTTTAAAGGAATTTTAGTTTGTCCCTCCCGACTGTTTTTTTCTTTTTCTATTTTTTTTTTTTTAGAAAACAAAAAGCCCGCCAACTCCGACCGTGTCCTAGCTGGCTCCCAGCCTCCCTTCCTCCTCCCCCTCCTCCTCCTCCTCCTCCTCCGCAGGCTGTCGCGTGCACCCAGCCTCCCTCGCCCTCTTAGAAACTTATTCTAGAACTCCTCTGCCCCTTCCTCGCTTCCTGCTGCAGCGGGGAGTTTTGGTCCTTTTTTTTTAAAAAAAAAAAAAAAACTTTTTTTCTTCCATTACAAAGCATGTGAATGGCCTCAACTCCTAGTTTCTCCAAACAGGAAACAGGTTAAAAAAAAAATCCAGGTGAGCTGGTTAACTCAGATTAATCCTTCAGCTGCTTGGGGCCCTAGGCGTTCAGAACCTGGATTTCCACCTTTGTACAAGACTCCAGGCTGGACCTGGCTTGCTACTTCTGGCACCCAGTAGGTACCTGGGTGGATGGGGGGGTGGGGGAGTGTGCCAGCAGAGAACAGTCAAGCCCTAGGCCGGGTTGCCCTCTTCTGACAATGGCCCCTCTCCTTCTCCAGCCTTATCTAAGTACTGGAGTATTTGCAGAATAAATAGTGGCCAGAGGGGTGAGAAAAGGAGACTAAGGGAAGATGAGGAGGCAGAAAGAGGAAGGGGGGGGGGCGGGAGATGTGGGAAAGGGGGAGGGGAAGATGTTACAGGAAAGGAATGGGTTAGGTGCCAAGACAATGAAATTTGGGAGGGGGAGGCCAGGGTTGAGGCTCGGAGAATTCAGGAGGCTGGAAGAAGTGCAGAGAGGCTGAAAGTGATTCAGGGAGACAGAGAGCGTGCTGATTTTGGGTGATCAGTGCAGGGAGATTTCCAGAAGTGCAGGGTTGGGAAAGCCAAGAGGCTTGGGGGTGGGGGGGGGGAGGGAACATCCACAGGCAAAAGTGCAGGGAGGTTGGAAACAGTGCAGGAAGAAGGAAGGCCCACAGTTGGCAGAGGAGCCTGGCAGGATGCAGGAACAGGAAAGAAGCTGTAAACAAGGCTGCTCAGGCTCCCTTGGTCCTTAGGGATGGGGGCCAGGGCCATCAACTGGCCTTCCCCCAAGGGAGGAATGGACCCAGGGCAGCTCCCAACAGGAAGAAAAGTCTTGGGATGCAGGGCAGAGCCCATTCACTTATACACTGTGGGAAAGGAGAGGGAAAGGACAGACAGACAGACAAGGAAGAAGGGGAGACAAGGAGAGACAAAGGAATAAGTGGGGAAGACAGACAGGAGAGAGCAGGGGGCAGGGGTTAGTAAAGCTGCCCTCATCAACCCTTCCACTCCACCCCTACCTGTCCCAGACCTTCACTCACCGCCTAAGTTGATGACGCAGGAGGCAATGATGATGAGGACCCCCCCTACCAGCGCCACGATGCTTAAGAGTTTGGCCACACGGCCCAGACGCTGGGCCCCATCCACGTCCCCCTGCTGCAGGCTGTTCCGGGACTGGGGTTAGGGTGAGGGGTGAGGTATCATGGACCAGGTCAGGAGTAGCCAGCCCCGCAGGGATCAGGTGAGAGTCATCCAGAGACAGACAGAAAGAGAGAGAGAGGGAGGGAGGGAGGGAAAAAGAGAGAGCAGCCAGCCCCATGGAATTAAAGGAGAATTGGAGAGGGGTGGGGAGGGGCTCAGGTCAGCAAGGTAGTGTAAATTACAGCGCCACGTACCTCCCACCCACAGGGATAACATAGTGGTTGCTCTGGGAGGGTTTGGTCCAGGGAGAGGCAAGCAAAGGTAACTAACAAGGGAAGTAGGATCCATGCAGAGGAAAGGTAAGGCATGGTTATTTCTGGGTCTCTGTCCCAGCACTGGCCAAGGAGCTGGGAGCCACCACCACAAACCTGGGCCCCGGGGTCCCCTGGGGCTCACCATGACGGCATAAGCGAAGGCCACGATGTTGACAGGCCACATGGGGCAGAAGCAAGACAGGATGGCAAGAATGATGTAGTCCCGAGGTTTCTGGGTGCCTTCGCCCCCTTCCACCCCAGACCCTGCCAACTGTGAGCTGGGGTGGCGGCTCAGGCTCCCTCGGGGAGATCCTGGGTGCCCACTGTGGGCCCTTCCTATTCGTTCCTCCTCAACCAGCTGCTGTAGCACTCGAGGGGGAGCTCCATTGGCTGGGGGGGCTTTGGTGGAGGGTGGTGAGTGAGGCTGGGGGGCTGGACCCTCTTCCCCATCCCCAGCCTGCAGTGGGACCACTGCTCCATTCTCCTGCTTTTCCCCTATACTGTCTGTCTGGCCCTCAGGGGTGGGGTCCTCCTGAGGAGGGAGTGCTGGCTGGAGCACTGATTTGGAGGTGGGCTGGGGAGCGGGCTGAGGGTCTGACTGGGGAGCGGGCTCTGAGGTTGGCTCAGGAGATCCCTGGTCTGCTTTGGCAGTAGCCTCTTTGTTTGCCTCTGGTTTGGATGCTGGTTCTTGGCATACTTCTTCAGGGCTGGAGCTGGCCTTTGATTCTCCTCCTGGGTTTAAGCTGAGGTCTGTGGCGGGGGCTGTTTCTGGGGCCCCAGCTGGGGTCTCTGGGGTCTCAGGGGCCAACCCAGTCTTGGAAGACCCTGACTCCACAGGGGCCGCAGTGGTGCCTGAGCTTGGCTGCGGGGCTTCTGGCTGATCTAGGACCTCTGCGTGGACCTGGAGAGGGCCAGTTCCCGCTTGAGAAGGGCCAGGTCCTTCACCCTGGGTCTTGGGACTCTCCTGCAACCCATTTATCTCAGAGACCTCAGAACTGCTGGCTGCCATCTTGAGATGGGAGAGGGGAGAGGGCCCCTCTGGGGAGGAGGGAACGGCAGAGACAGTAGCAAATCCTGGAAGAGGAGGAGACAGGCTTGGTGTAAGGGAAGAGGGGCTCCCGTCCCTGCAGGCCCAAGAGGACCAGGCTTGTGTCTCAGAGCCAGTCTGGTGCCGTCTCTAGGGAGCGGAAGAAAAGTTGGGGTTTCCTTTGCCTAGGGGTGGGACATCCCTGGGGGAGATGCACTCGACTGTCTTCTGCGATGAAGAGCCTTGGGAAGATAAACCCTTTTATACACGGAAGCCTCCCCAGGGGGTACCTTCTTGGGTTTCCCCCTCCCAAACACACCCCAAACCCGCAAGATCCACTCTGAGATCCCAGCAGGTGCCCCGACACCCCCAAAACAAGCAGCTGTGCACACACACGGCCGGGCAGACGGGGCAGGGGCCCGGCACGCTCGCCGCACACCCTCTGCACGCTCTGCGCCCCCCGGGGGGCGCGCGGCCCGGCGGGGTTTCCTTGCCCCTCCTCGGGGACCGGCTCAGCCTCCCCCCCCTCCCGGGGACTGACTCCCACGGCCGCGGTGGGCCGGCATCTCCGCCTCCCGGCGGCGCGGCGCGCCCAGCACCACCCCAGCGCCACCCTCCAGCTCGCCAGCCGCCCGCATTCCCGTGCAACTCCGCGGTCGGTGTGTCTGTCCACTCCTACCCGCAGCCTCCGTCTGTCCCGACCTCACCTCGACGCCGTCTCCAGACAGCTGCCGAGCCCCGCCGCCGCTGCAGCAGCCGCAGCCCGGGAGGGAGCGATCCGGCGAGCGCGCGGAGGGAGGCGGCGGGTCTCCCCTCCTCGCTGCGCGTCTGTTCGTCCCCTCTCCCCGTCCCCTCCCCTACGCTCCACCGCGCGCCGCCCCCGCCCCTCGCACGCCGCCGGCCCCTCCCGGCCGGCCCAAGGGAGCCTCGCGTGCCAGGCCCCGCGTTACCAGGGCAACCGGCCGGGGACCACTCGTGCCCCCTTCCCACGCGCGCCTCCACCGGGGCACCCCTTCCTAAGTCTCGGCCCCTCCCGCCAACGGTCACCAGGGCACCTGGCAGAAGACGGGGTCTTCAGGACGGGACCAGCGAGCCAGGCAGGACAGGTGGAGCCATCCCCACAGCACCCAGAGGGGTCGGGGACCAGGGCAAGATTTGGGGAGGCTGCAGAGGAGCAGGGCGGGGCCCGGAGGGAAGAGAGCCTGCAAAACTGAAGCCTTCCCTACCCCCAGGGAAGCAGCCACAGCAGAGTACTGGAAGACTCGAGAAAGGGTCTGGGCAAAGGAGAGGAGGAATTCCAGAGGGCAGAGCAGACACTGCAGGGCCCGCCTGGAGCCGGGAAGCCCGGGAGCGGAGACCAAGTGCAGGCGGCGGGTCTCGATCCTGCAGCGCCCAGCCCCCGTGGCTCAGGATTTGCAAAGCTTTCTGCAGCTCCCTCAACACCCCTTTCCCGGGTCTTCGGGCTGTCCAGTCATTAGTATTGGTGTCAAGTGGACCAACAGGGGTCTTTATTTACTGCCGGTACTGGGTCTCGAACCCAGGGCCTCTTGTTGGGGCTCTACCACCTGAGCCACACCCCCACTTCCGGCTTGTTAGTAGTTAATTGGAAGAAGTTTCATGCCTTTTCTGCCCAGGCTGACTTTGAAAGATGATCCTCAGATCTCAGACTCCTGAGCAGGTAGGAATACAGGCATGAGCCACCTACACAACCTGTGTGTGTGTGCGTGCACATGCATATATGTATGTGTGTGTGAGTGCGTGCGTGCTCATCTTGGGGCTTGAACTCTAGGGCCTGTGCTCAGTCCCTCCCTGAGCTTTTCTGCACAAGGATACAGTTCTTATCACTTGAGCGCCACAGCTCTACTTCCAGCTTTTTTTTTTTTTTTGGCAACAACCTGGACCTTCATAAACCACCAGTGGCTATTCTGGGCCTGGCCAGATTGGGTATTCTCAATTTGGGAGTCCTGCCACATGTTCTTCAGAGCCCCAAGAGCCCTGCCCACCCGTAAATCTATACTGTAGCTATTCAGGCAGTCTTTAGGGAAGAGACAGAACCCCAGAACCACACGGGCAAGTCTGGATACTGGGCTCAGAGAAATCACCTGGGGGGGTATGTGTGCGTGTGTGTGAGAAAAGATAGGGAACTTATGGGCTTGGTGAGGGCAACTCATTGAACCTGGAACCAGAGCCAGTTTTTATTTAAAATTTATTGTAATGGGGTCCGCGCAAAAGGAGGGAGTGGAGGGTGGGGAACATGCAGGGGACACAGGAACACGATGACATGGCCAGGGCCACAGCTTCAGTCATGGGGGAAGAGGGATGAAAAGAAAAGACCAGGGCTGGAGCTGGGGTGGAAGAGGGAAGGGGGGACACTGGCTGCATTCCCCCACCCCCAGGAAGCACCTCTAGTCCCTGGTTTCCCTCCTTTACCCTGGCCCCCTAAGATTCTATCTCCTGCCTCTGGCCTTAGTGGCTCCTTTTGCTCCCCTTGATTTGTCTTTCCCCTGATGGATTCTCAAGTAGAATGATGTTTAGGGCCTAACCTCAACAACCCTACCTTACTGAAGGTACAATCTTTGCCTTGCCTGCTTCTGCCCATTCTGGCATCTCCCCTTATCCCTCTCTGGGACAATCTTTTGATTTCCCTCTTTCCTCACTTCCCTCCCCCTGGGGGGGGAAAAACAACAACAAAAAGAAAGCACCAACTCCCCAGGGAGGGGCAGCAGACAGTAGAGGGAGAAGGCTAAAGGGAGGAGAGCAAGGACCATGAGGGAAAAGGCTCACAAATCCCTGGGAGGGAAGGGCAGGGGGCTGCAGAGAGGAGAAGGGGGGAAGGGCAGTGGCTACTCCTGTTCTCTGCCACCCCTGCCCACTGTCCAGGGGATTTCAACACAACCAGGGGGACAGGTGTGTGTAGGGTCAGCTCTTGACAAGGAGAAGAGAGGAGCAGGAGAAACTGTGAAAACCTAGCGAATTCCCCTAAGAACGCGTTTCTTCTTCCTTTCTGGAGGCTCCTTGGTTGGTGTGTAGTAGTGAGGAGAGGGGAGAGACCGTACCAAGGGACTTTCCTTCATGCTCTCCTCTCACCCATCAACACTGAGCTCACCAGGGCTGGGAGGGAAGTGGCTGAGAGCTCACTGGCACCCCCTCTGCCCCAGAGAGAGAGCCCACAGCTGTGGGAGGGGCTGCCACTGCTGCTGCTGCTGCCGCTGCTGCCGCCGCCGCCGCCGCTGCTGCTGCCGCCATGGGACAAACCTCACCAGTACCTGCAGTGCGAAAGGAAAACACCACGGATCACAGCACAACCTGAATGGCAAGAGCCATGCATGCCTCTTACCCCAATACTGTCCAACTACTTCCCCTGGGACACAGCCGTTGCTCACTTCCTATCTGATCCCCAGAGGCGTGAGCCTGCCTCTTACCAACAGCCCTACAAGGCCCTCCCTGGTCCAGGCTCCCTAACCTGAGTGACAGATGGGTATCCTTGCCTTCCTGAGATCCCCTAATGGGCCCTTTGAACCCCCTTGTCCCACAACCCCGTCCCACCCCCACCCCCAGCCATGCCCCACGCCTTGCCTGGTGGGTGCAGGGGTCCCCCTCAGCAGGTGGGCTGTGGCTGGGGGGCATCTCCCGGGACAGGGGGGGCGGCCCCCCCCAGATGGGTCTGCATGTGGCCGGCCAGCTGGGCAGGGGTCTTGCAGTGCACGCTGCACAGCTTGCACAGGATGCGGTCAGCCCGCGGGGCCTGGAGCCCATGGTCCTTCACCGCGTGGATGCGCAGGTATGCTGCTGTGGTGAAGCCTATGGGGGGGCGGATTGGGGTAGGGGGATGGGGGGTCAGCCAGGTGGAGACCCCAGAGACGGGGCTGTTCTCCTAGGCTGGGGACACCCTCTTCAAGATGGCCCTGTCCTCCTCCCACCACATCCTTGATAGGCTGGGGCCAACTGCTCTGCTGGGGCTGGTGAGGACAGGCCCTCCCTAGGCTTGGGACCTGGTTTGAGTGGTGTCCATTTCTCAGGGTTGACGCCTACAGAGTTTCCTCCACTCCACATGGCTGGGAGAGCTCTCTCGGGATGGCCGGACACTTAAAACTGATGCCTAGCTACTTGAAGGGTTGACTTCTCAGTAGAGACGGCTGTGTCCCCTCCCTCCAATGCCCCAGTCCGCAGCCCAGTTAGTAAACAAGTACGTTTAAAGCAACTTTTCACCACTACTGGGGCAGGGTGTGTGTTTGTTAAACACCTGCCAATATGTTCCCCTTGCCCCAGGAGCTGGAGACAAGAACTTGTGGCTGTGCAGCTGAAACCTTGCCTTCCCACCCTGGGGGGATTGGCTCTCCCCGGGACTGCTCCTTTCCCAAAGCAGCAGGCACCACTCCCACTGACCCACGCACACCCAGGAAGTTGAGTCTTTTCTGACATGTCTCCTCCAGCCATGGCTTCTTAGAACTGGTGATGTTCAGTTGTCCCCAATGCTGCTTTGCTTGCTTTCTGAAGGGCTCTAGATGCCACGAGCTCTTGGCTACAGCACCCTTCCCCCACATCCGTGGAAAGGCCGCTAGCTCTGTGCCCTCCTCCCTCTGTCCCTGGCCCTCCTGGCATCCCTTAGCATGTACCTTTGTTGCAGAGCTCACAGACATGGTGAGGGCCCTGGCTGTGCACCTTCATGTGGTCCGAAATATAAGCCGAGCTCAGCATCTTGCCACACACATGACATGGCACCTTCTCTTCGTGTCGTACTGTGTGCGCCCGGAGTCGATCCTTCGTAGCAAAAGCTGCCTCACATTTCTGGGGAGGGGGGAGGGGCGTGGGGGGTGTCAAGGAGAGTTAAAGCTTCGGGGAATGGGGAGAAGGGAGCAAGAGGTTAAAAGGATCAGAGCCTTGGGGGTCTTTGATCTGTAGGAAATGAGAGTGAGATGACAAGGTGGTGAAGAAGGAATGAGAGAATGGAGTGAAAAGGCAAAAAGAAGAGAGAGAAAAAGGGGGTCTGAGAGGCTGAACTCAGGCAGCTACAATGAGGATCAAAATCATGAAAACCAGGACAGGAGGAAGCGGGCTTCCTACCTCACATTTGAAGGGCCGCTCTGTCGAGTGCACTTGTCTGACGTGACTGTTGAGGTGATCCGGCCTGTGGATATGTTGGGGTGAGGATTAGGGCTGAGGCTGGGCGGCGGCGGGGGGGGGGGGGGGGAGCCCTCAATCTGCCTAGCTTCCTTTAACAGGTCTTTTTCCAAGCCACCAAGCTTTACAGTCCTGCCTGGGCAGGAAATCCCTCCCCCTTGAACCCCGGCTTCTTCTTCCCCTCCCTCCCCCCCCCCACTGGCGGAGAAGACCCACCTCCTTCGCAGAGGCCCACCCCCTGGCTCCCCGGTACCCGGGAGGCTCCCAGCCTCCTCCCTCCCGGTCCAGCTGGCCTCGCTGCAGTGCCCTGGGTGGCTAGCCCTCCCTCCTGCCCTCCCTCCCTCCCCCAGCCTGCGCGGCCGAGGCCCCTGCACACCGGGAGAAGCTCTTGCCACAGTGGGAGCAGTTGTAGGGCTTGTGCACAGCGCCGTCATGTGAGCGCACGTGGTAGCTCATGCGGTCCTTGCGCTTGAAGCGCTGCTGGCACACCGGGCACTGGTAGGGCTTCTCGTCCGAGTGCGACAGCTTGTGCCGGTTCAGGTGGTACACGTCGCGGAAGGCCTTGCCGCACATCTCGCACGCGTGGTTCTTGCGGATGCGCTTGCCCGAGGCCGTGGTGGTCACCACGCCGCCGGCGGCCACGGCGGCCGCGCCGCCGCCCGTGCCGGTCTCGGGCCCGCCGCCGCCGGCGCCGCTCAGCTGGGGCACGCTCAGCAGGCTCAGGGGCACCATGGTGGGCATCTTCATGGCGCCCGTGGGGACGCGGCCGGCCTTGGCGCCCGTGTGGATGGCCTCGTGCCGGCGGAGGTTGTAGCCGTTCTTGAACTCCTTGGCGCACAGGGCGCAGATGTAGGGCCCCTTGCTCTTTGTCTTCTTCTCCAAGGCGGACGCGACGGGGGCCACGGAGACCGTCGAGGTGGGGGCGACGACGGCGGTGGCGGCGGCGGCGGCGGCGAT